GGTTAGAGTGGGTTGGCCGTGCTAAATTGTCCCATAGTGCCCAGGGATGTGCAGGTTAGGGTGGATTGGCCATGGAAATGCAGTGTTACAGGAAGAGGGGAGGGTTGTGGGTCTGGGTGGGATGCTCTTTGGAGGGTCAGTGTTGATTGATGGGTCGAATGGCCTGCTTCCACACTGTAGGGTATATATGATAATCTGTGCAATATATAGAAATCCTAATGAATTAACCTCAAACCCAAACCAAACTCCAATCCCAAATCCAACCGAGAATCCTCAAACTGGACCCTGAACCTGGAATTCAATCCCGTTACGTCCTAGCCCCGAGGATGAGGTCACATTCCGGAGTTTAAATTCTGCAAGATCCTCAGGGGAAAACCATCCGGTGTAACTCAGCCCCTGCTGTAGGAGGTGCCAACACTCACTGGGTAGGCCGGTAGCTCACAATCCACAGCCTCAAAGCCCTTCACACTCCAGAACAATAATGTGGGGTCTGACCCTGCCCTTTAAACCTCACACCCCAAACCCTAGACCCCTCTGCCTTGGGGAGGCTGGCAAGAAACAACAATACGGGATCTTTCTCTGCCTGACGCGCAAGGTAACCCCACCTCCATCTTGCAAGATCGACCACCCTTTTCTCAGCTTCAAATGGTGAAACGAGGTGGGGGGGCATTTCGGCCAGGGGAGGCGTCGCGACTTACTGAGCCGTCCTTCAGCCACTGGTGGAAGGCGGCCTTGCCAGGGGGCGGCCGCTGCAGTTGCTGTCCCGCGGGACCCTCGGCGTTGCACTGGAGCATGATCCAATCCACCAGCTGCTCCTCCAACTCGCTGTCGTACTTCTGCTCAATCTTCTGCTGCACTTGCCGGCTGAGTCCATATCTGGGGCCCTGGTTAGCCATCGTCCCTGCGGTGAGGAGGAGGGCTGGGGGTGAGGGGACACGCTCTGCAGCTCGGAAGCAGTGCGGAAAGCAATTGAGGCTGCGGCGCAGGTGGCACATGCCGTTCACCATCAGACAGCGACAAGAAGGAGGTATAAAGACAACAAGCTAAACCATTTGGCGTTGAAGTGGACAGAGGGGCAGGCAGGGTGAGGGTGGGGAGAAAGTGGGGGGGGGGGGGGGGTTCAGTTGGCTCGGATGGGATGGCGGACCCCCCGAAATGACGTGAAGAACCGTCTCAGCTCACCAAGCTGGCCCTTCCTTTTCTGATTCATTCACTCGCAGGATGTAGGCGTCTCTGGCTACGGCCAGCGTTTATGGCCCATCCCGAACGGCCCAAAGGGCAGCGCAGAGTCAACCCACATTCTCCACCTGGTCCATCAGTCACCTAACCTCAGTGAGAGTGCGAGCATGGTCCTCTGGGACTATCGCAACTTTCACATCCCTATCAAAGCACGGGGTCAGATACAGCGTAACGCTCACTCTACACTGTCTCCCCCATCAAACACTCCCAGGACAGGGACAGCACGGGGTTAGATACAGAGTAAAGCTTCCTCTACACTGTACCCCCATCAAACACTCCCAGGACAGGGACAGCACGGGTTAGATACAGAGTAAAGCTCACTCTACACTGTCTACCCCATCAAACACTCCCAGGACAGGGACAGCACGGGGTTAGATACAGAGTAAAGCTTCTTCTACACTGTCCCCCCATCAAACACTCCCAGGACAGGGACAGCACAGGGTTAGATAC